TCACAAGACCTGGGAGTGAACATTCCTAGCACCGTGGGACAAAACGGTCATGAAATGCCTCCCAAACCGTGGTCAAATTTATGACCACGAAGGGGCCCTGCCAATGGGAAACTGGCACTTGCCATCTGCCTCTACAAAGATTAAATCATGGCCACTGCAGCTGCTGACCTCCAACACCCCCTGAAAGGAGTTCCGGGTGGAGATCAGGAATGAGACACTCTGTGCTCTGGGAAAAGCTGGCAGAACAGGTCTTCAGATAGCTAGATATTTTCAGGAGAAGATTTTACGAGCCCAAATTCTTGCATCTTCTCATACCTAGAGAAACACTGACATCGTTAACGATTACATCTGCTTTGGCTATTAAGGAGAAAATGACAATTAAAAAGTCAAAATGGAGTAGCTGTGGTTCAGACATCCAAGGAAATAACTAGGTGACACTATGGATGTGATTTCAGACAAGTCCTTGTATTGCTAAGAACTTGAGTTTTCTGAGCTGTGTCGGACTTGAGATGCCACCAGCTACTCTCAAAACAATGTCTGCAGGCAGCTGGTGGCCACAACCTTACTTTTTAAAGGTCTCCTCTCGTAACTATTATATTTTTAAACAATGAACTTGCTTTAGATAGTATGTTAACAAGAAAACACGTGTAGTGACCAATAGCACCTGTTATCTATGTGTTAATACCACATCAAAAGTTAAAACCTACTTAGATAAAACTAGACAACTGGCTACCTGGCTAGGAGTCTCCCCAAAGTGCCAGGTCCAGACTGGGTTTCAGGCTTGTTCTCCTGAAAAGAAATGAGATCTATTTTGGCTATTAACGTCAGGTTGTCACTCCTCCAACTACTTCTAACTGGGTCTGTTACACCTACATCAATCATACTGGGCTAATAGAAGAGGACATCAAAAACGTATATGACCGGGCTTCCCTGGTGTCGCAGTGGTTGAGAGTCTGCCTGCCGATGCAGGGGACGCGGGTTCGTGCCCCGGTCCAGGGGGGATCCCACATGCCGCGGAGCCGCTGGGCCCGTGAGTCATGGCCGCTGAGCCTGCGCGTCCAGACCCTGTGCTCCGCAACGGGGAGAGGCCACAACAGTGAGAGGCCCGCGTACCGCAAAAAAAAACAAGTATATGACCATGCCAACTGGCTCCATTCTTTTGGACAGGGTAACCCAGACGCTGACTCTCATCTGGACCAGGATTAAAATTGCTACCAAATATAACCTGGTTATTGCTCCTGCCTGGGCCCCTGGTTACAGTAATTCTTTTACCGACCTTGGGCCCCTGCCATCTCAATCTGCTTGTCTACTTTGTTCTTTCTAAAGACACAACGGTTTCCCGGTGATGCAGAGGTTCCAGCCGCTCCTCGGAACAGATCGTGCGAGAATGACAGTGGAAGTCACCCTGGATCCCTTAACGAGACAGAGTGAGAGCTCTGTGACCCCAGCTAGGTAGGGTCTGCTAGCCCGTTGCCAGCCTGAAGAAGCTACAGAAGATAGACCTACACCCTTCATCCTCCCAATAAAGATTTCTTGGGGTTCACATCTCTCAGGGGGGATTTGAGGCAGGAGATAGATGGGCCCCAGGCTGAGCAGCTAGAGTTCATTCCCTGGGGACAGAAACTCCATAACAGCAGGGACCAGTGAGGAAGCTTAGCCCTGCCCAGAGAAATGACCACATATTCCTCATTCTCGAAGTCAAGGAGATCTTCCCAACTACACACGCACAGAAAGGCTCCTCGAAGGTCAAAAGGAAGGGGGCGTCACCTCATAGTAAGTGATGCCAACCTACCCATAGTCCTCTTCACTAGCATCCGTCTTGGCTAAGAGATGTGCACACACACATGGGAGGACCCTGGGATAAACCAAATTCGGACTCAGAACCAGGCAAATCAAAATGATTGGCCAGGGACTTCCCTGGTGGTTCAGAAGTGGGAAGATTATGTAGTTAAAGGGGAACTGAACACTGAGAGCCTTTGGTCTCCTTCCTTCCTGCTAGCACTCTGGCAAGGGCAACACCAAGTGGCACAGCCCTAGGGCAACTTGGGGACATTCACAGCAAAGGGACACCTGAGTTGGCATCTTCAAGCCGCCCCTGGTTCCCAGGGGCGATCTTACTTCCTGCACCCAGATTTCCGCCCCCGGGGCTGCCTCCCTCCACCCCCTCCCCTGCACTGTGCCCGGTCTCCCCTGGCTTCTCAGAAGTCCTGAAGAAGGGGGAAAATTACCTTGCAAGGGGAAGGGAGCCCATCACATCCCCTCCCTGCAGCCTCATCTTGCTTGCAGGTGGAGGAAGCTCTGCTTTCAATACTTCCTTAAACACCAGCAAACCACCCCAAGCAGAACTGCATCGTCTAGAGAGCAATCGATCGATGGAGCCCCCGCAGTGTCCCCAGCCCAGTAATCCAGAGCAGTGGGAAAACCCAGGCAAGTGATGCAAATGTGCAATGAAAGCCAGGCACTTCCTGCCTTCAAGTTCTTTGCTGTGTGGATTAAGCTGATATGTCTCTGAGCCTGCTTTCGGTGGAAAATGAGAATCAGAGCATCACCCAGTTCCTAGGGCTCGGGTGAAGGTTCCAAAAGGTGATACCTGCCGAGTTCTTAGCATGGGAATAAGCCCTCAATATGAATGACTCTTTGGATTGCTTTCTGTTTCTTTGTTACCACGGCAGGTGCCACATTGAATATGTGTGTGTACATCTCCGTTTGTGACACGTGCGTGCGAGTGTGCTTACGAAATGAAATCCTTGAAGTGAAACCGATGGACATTAGGGGAGGTGCATTTTGGGATCTTGATGGATTTGCCAAACTGTCCTTTCAAAAGGCTGGATCCATTTCAAATCCCAGCATCCGGGTATTAGGGATGCTTTTCACCTACATGCTTGCAACACCGTGAATCTTCAGATTCAACCAACGCTCTGATCATTTACCAAATTACGATAGGTGCAAAAGAAAAGGTGTATTCCGTGTGCTTTTAATTTTTAGTTATCTTATTCAGAACAGAGAGAATATCGCGTTTCACATTCGATCGTGTATCTTTTAAGAACCCGACTTCATATTCATCTCATTTTCTAGAAAGTGTTAGTCACTTCTTAATGACTTAACTTCTGAGTTATATATCTTAGAACAGTTTTGTCTATTTTGGGCCTATCAAACCTTTCTTTTTTCTGTCTTGCTGCTTGTGTGTATGTGTGTGCCTTTAACTTGGAAGGTATTTTTAATGCAGATGTTATTAATTTATATGTGAAACATAGCAACATTCTCTTTTATGTCTTCTTCGTTTTTTTCAACATACTTAAAAAGTCTGCACTGCACCCAGATGAATTTTTATGAATGTATCATACTTTCATAACTGTACTTAACTGTGCAGTTGTATGTACTTAACTGTACATAACTGTACATCTGTACTTTCATAACTGAAAGTGGGGTCTGGCTGTTCACTGTTCAAAAGCCAATAAAGAGGCAAGGTCGTTGGAAAGGAAAGTTTGCTTTATTTTCAGATGCCGGCGATGGGGGTGGGGATGGCGGGGGGCAGAGGGCGGACTTCTGACCAAAGGCCAACCCTCCGCCCCCCATAATCAGTGGGCAAGAGCTTTTATACATGGGGGGAGGGGACTACATGCAGAAACAGTCATTTTGAAATTGGTCAGCGGTGGTCTGACCAGCATCATCTTGATTGTTTCAAGTACAGTTCAAGTCTTCATTTCCAGGGTCGGTTTGTTCCCATTTCCTTAAGGCCAATTATTGGAATTGTGGCAACTTATGTCATGACTACATTCTGGTCATCGTGTAGTTAACTTCTTCCACCTGGTGGAGGTTTCAGTATCTACAAGACAGCTCACAGGATAGGGCTCAGAATATTATCTAGAGCCCTCGAGAAGGAACTAAAGGTCCTTGATTTTGCTTAATGACTAAACTATTATTATTTAGTCTTATCGGGCTGTTTTCCTTTGTTTCTGCATTCTCCCTTCTCTGATTAAACTCATTCTTTGGCTGAAATTTGTCTACAGACAAAAGGTAGGCAGAGGACGTTGGGAGGAAGGACCACAGGGCCCTGCTCCGTTTCACTTTCATGGCTTCTTTTTTGTTTTTTTTGTTTGTGAAAGTGACGAAATTTGCATTTTATAGCCAAGAGGGCTGGCGTCATCTTTCTGTGTTGATCAGCCACCTGAACTTCTTTGTGAATTGTCTGCTTGTACCCATTGCCGTTGTTCTAACGAGCATTTCCTGGGGGGATATAGCAACATTAAAAGCTAGCCTTTATTGACCACTTGCTGTGTGCCTGCGCTATGCTAAGGGCCTCGCATGTGTCTCTCCTTAAAATCTCATCACAGCCCATTTTATTATTATTTAAATTTTTTATTTTAATACAATTTTTAAAGGCTGCTTTCTATTTGCAGTTATTACAAAGTATCAGCTACATTCCCCGTGTTGTACGGTACATGGTTGAATCTGTCTTACAGCCAGTAGTTTGAACCTCTCACTCCCCTACTCCTATATTGTCCGCACACACACTGGTAACCACCACTCTGCTTTTTTTATGTTATATTCACCAGTTTGTTGTATTTCACAGCCCATTTTATAGATGGAAACATTGAACTTAAGCTGATGGGGGTGTGAGTTTCCCAAAGGCTAAAATGTGACATTCCAGAGATTGGAATCCAGGTGTGTTGAGAAACTCCAGACCCTACATACTTAACCATGCTCGGTAGCAATTATTTTTGACTGTGAATGGCTTTCAGCTAGATGGAGGTAGGGAAGGGATACCAGGTGGGCTGCAAAGAACCATCAAAGGTCCAGAGTGGGGACCATGACAAGACAGGGATTGGAAGGTCTTGCAGATGGAGTTAGCCAGCAGAGCTAGACTTTAGAACCCAGCGGGGGTTTCACACATTATGAAAGAAGGTCGGGGACAGTTCCGAGGATCACGCCCCCAGGCTCAGGAGAGCTTAATGTCCCTTTGAGGGTGCTGCTTGCTAAACCCTCAGGCCTGGGATCCTAGGGTTTTCATAAAGGAAGTTCCTTTTGTAGTTGGGGGTCTCAGGGAGTATACGATCACCTGGATCCCAGGAATTCTGGACACTTTTGTCTCCCCTCTTTCTTCTACCTGCCCTCCCACACCAGCAAATGCTGCTGGCTCCAGCTCTGACATCTATTCACCTCCTATTCACCCCCTTCTTCTCTCCCCCACCCCACTCCCAGCCCAGGCCAGGCCACTGTAACTCCTCACTCTGGAATGAAATTTTCAAGTCTCCGTGTCTACAAGTCAAGCTTCTTAGGCCACAGCCACGTGTACTTGGCACATACAGTCTGTGACAGCTGAGTGGCTTGATTCACTGATACTAACAAAGTACTGTCCCAACCCTACAAAGCCCAGGTAGTGTCTCTTCATCTTGTAGCTACGCCGTTGTTACTCGTTTCCTGAGGCTGCCATAACAGAGCACCACCCACTAGTGGCTTGAAACAACAGAAATTTACTCTTTCACCATTCTGGAGGCCAGAGATCTGAAATCAAGGTGTCCGAAGGGCTGCGCTCCTTTCAAAGGCTTTAGGGGAGATTCCTTCTTTGCCTCTTTCTGGCTTCTGGGGTTTGCCGGCAATCCTTGGGGTTTTTTGGTGTATTTTGCATCACTCCAATGTCTACCTCCAACTTTCCTCTGTGTCTCTGTGTGTCCTCTCCTTTTCCTATGAAGACATCATGGGATGTAAGGTCCACCCTCATCCTTACTTCTCAAAGACCCTGTTGCCAGATGAGGTCACGTGCTGAAGTTCTGGGTGGACATGAATTGGGGGGTGACATATTCAAGCCACTACAGTCATCAAGAACGGGTGTCCTCCAAGACCACAGGGCAAGAGAATTGAAAGGCAGTGTGGCATGTTTACAAGATCAGGCTATGGAAGTGACCCTTGGTCCGCTTCTACTCTCTTCCTATTAGGCAGGTCAGTCACGTGACCGCATCAGGGGTGGTCCCACCACGGGGCCGTCAGGGAGGCTGGGAAGATGGAGAGGAACACATGGATATTGGGGGACCCCTCCTCCATCCCTGGGTGCTGTGGCTGTAGCCCTGAGGCCCAGCAGAGCATCTGGCCCATAGTGGATGTTCAATGAAGGTTTTTTGAATGAGTACCAGGAAGGTGAGTGTGGGAAGTCAAATAGAAAAATTGAGGGGCACCCTGGCCCACCTACTCTGCAGACTGGGGACCGGCAGAAGCTGGAGGGGAATTCCCTGCACTGTGGAACTGAGTCTGGTCCCTCCCTTTGCCGGACATCCCCAGGGTGGGGCATGGTTGGTCCCTGGCAGGTTCAGGCAGGCAGAGGGCCCCATAGCTGCATGAGAGCTGAGGTTCCTTCCCTCTTCCTGCCTCTACACACCCTCCACCCTGCCACACAGCTGATGAAGTGCTTGCAGAGGATCATGATAGCAGAAGAGGCCTCGGGCTGCCAGGTGCCCCACCGGCCCTGGGTGTCCATCCGGAAGGTGGCTTTGTTGCTGCTTCTCCTTGGCATGGTGATAGGCTGCCTCGTCTGCAGTGTGCGCCTCACCCGAAAGCAGCAGGTGGATTCAACTGGGGTAAGTCCAGAAGGGAGGATGAGAGAGACAGAGGTACATCTGCCTCCTGCAAGCTCAGGAGCATGGGGACCTCCAGCTGGGGCCGGGCCCTGGGGAGGGGGTGCAGCGCCGAGGGCAGGTAAGCAACTGAGTGAGGAAAGAATCAGCTCAGGGCAGAGGGATGGTGAGCTAGAGCGCAGACTAACAGACTCACGACCAAAAAAGAAAAAGAAAACAAAAAGATTAGAATGAGATGAATAAAAATCTGCCAGGGGGGCTTCCCTGACAGTCCAGTGGTTAACACCCCTCGCTTCCAACGCAGTGGGGCGGGGGGTTCGATCCCTGGTCTGGGGAATTAATAGCCCGCATAGCACGTGGCGTGGCCAAACAATAGAAAAGACAACTGCCAGGAAGAAAGATCTGGTGGAAAAGAACAGAGCGAGAGAGACCAGAGCAGGGAGGGGAGGCGGGGGCAAGGCTGCCCCCGGGGGTCTCCGGCTCTGGATAGTCAGTTCTGCCAACACCAGGAGGTAAATCCCGGGTGGAGATCCCGGGGTGGAGGAAGATACATACCATATGGGGGCCTGGAAAATGACTCGTCTTTGGTGTTCCCCCAGCAGGCTGACTCAGAGGCTGCTGGGGGCTTCTCAAAGCTGGGAAGGGGCGGTTCCGGGACCTCCAAGGACAGGAGGAACCCTGGACACCTACCACAGGGTCTGGCTTTGGGGGCTGCATTACGGGGGTGGGAGAGCTTTGCAGGGGAGAGAGGCAGGTGTGTCGAGGCGCCCTGTGTTATATCCTGGAAACTAAGAAGTTCTTCAGAAGGTCTTCTCTTCATGCTCACGGCTAGTTCAAACCTACTTTCTCTTTAAGAGTTCTTCACAAAGGTCCCAACTCAGTCCGGTGGGATGATGGGTGGATAGAAGGATGGGTCGAGAAAAGAGAGCTCTTCCCTCGGGAACACTCAAGACCTCTGGTCTCTTTTCTTTTCTTTTCTTTTCTTCCAGTGGGACTTAGCGGAGCTGCAGCTGAATCACACAGGTAAAACCAGATGCATATGTGTGTTGGAGAAAGAGAAAAGAAGGAGGGTGGGGGAGGGAGAGAGAGAAAGAGAAATTGAGAAAGGATGAGAAAAAGAAACAAAGAGAGGGAGATATGGCGGCTGAGCACCTGCTTCCTGGCTCAGCCTTTTGTTTTCTCCCTTGGGAGATCCCAAACCAACTAAACCAAGCTAATAGCCATCACTAACCTGCCTTCACTGAGGCCACAAACACTAATGCAGCGGCTACTGTGAGGCAAGCCCTGTTCTGGGTGTCCCGAGAGCCCACAGAACCGACAGAAATCCCTGCCCTGTCGGTGTTTCCCTTCTACCAAGGGGACCAGAAAATAAATAAATAAACAAGGAAAATATGCAGCATGCCAAGAGAGTAAAACACGCATCTGGTACTTCTGGGAGGAATATTAAGTAAGGGAGGGGGATCGGGCAGGCCAGCGTTGGGTTTGCCCTTGAAGATGCGGTCATCGGGGAAGGCATCCCTGAGAAGGGGGCTTTAGAGCAAGGACGTGAAGGAACGTGAGGGCGGGTACCATTTGGCAGTACTCTCCCAGCCTCTCTCTAACCCCCTTCCTCTTTGGGCCTCTCCCACCCCCCCACCCCACCCCCACTCATCCCCGGAGGGAAATCTTCGTCTTTTTTCTCTGGGTGCTTTCTGCTCGGGCTGCTATGACAGAATAACAGACCAGAAGGCTTATAAACAAGACATTTCTTTCTCATGGTTCTGGGGGCTGTGAAGTCCAAGGCACCGGCAGATCTGGTGTCTGGCGAGAGTCCGCTTCCTGGTTCATAAACAGCCAACCATCTTCATTTTTTCTTTTTTAAGTTTTTTTTTTTTTTTTGATGTGGACCATTTTTAACGTCTTTATTGAATTTTTCACAATCTTGCTTCTGTTCTTTAGCTGCGAGGCATGTGGGATTTTAGCTCCCCCGACTTAGGGATGGAACCCACACCCCATGCATTGGGAACATGGAGTCTTAACCACTGGACCACCAGGGAAGTCCCCAGCCAGCCATCTTCTCATCTTTTTGCTGGGTCTTCACGTGGCTGAAAGGGAGGGAGAGAGCTCTCCGGGCTCTTCTCTTTCTCTCCCCACCCCCCTTTCTTTTTTTTTTTTTTTTCTATTCTTTGGCCACCCCACATCACCCCACCCGGCCCCGCGGGGCATGCGGGATCTTAGTTCCCCAGCCACGGATGGAACCCGTACCCCTGCATTGGAAGCACGGAGTCTTAACCACTGGACCCGCCAGGGAAGTCACTCTTTCTCTTTTTAAATTGAGATATAGTTGACATACAACGTTGTATTAGTTTCCGGTGTACAACATGATTCTCTATTTGTATATATTACAAAACGATCACCACAGTGTCTAGCTAACATAGTTACAATTTTTTTTCTTGCCATGGGAACTTGTAAAATCTTCTCTCTTAGCAACTTTCAAATATACAACACAGTATCATTAACTCTAGTCACCATGCTGCACATCACACTGCCAGAACTTAGTTTATAACTTATTTTATAAGTTTTACCTTTCGACCGCCTTCACCTATTTTGCCCACCCCGGCTCCCACCTGTGGCAACCACCAGTCTGTTCTCTGTATCTATGAGCTTGAGTTTTGTTTTCTTTTAGATTGCACGTATAAGGGAAGCCATACAGTATTCGTCTTTGTCTGACTTACCCCTAGGTCCACCCATGTTGTCACAAGTGGCCGAATTTCCTTCTATTTTTATGGTTGAATTATATATATATATATATATGTATAATATCACATATATTATATATAATAATATATATAAACATCTTTATCCATTTTATATATATGTGTGTATGGTGTGTGTATATATATACACGCACAATCCATACATATGTATATGTATACATATATGTGTGTGTATGTGTATATACAGATATATAGATATATAGATATCACATCTTCTTTCTCCATTCATCCATCAGTGGATATGGGGCCTCTTTTATAAGGGCTCCACCTTCATGATCTAATCACTTCCCAATGGCCCACCTTCTAATACCATCCCCTTGGGGGTTAGGTTTCAACATGGGAGTTTGGGGCATTCCCTCTATGGCACTCAGTTTCCCTAAACGTCCATCCTTCCATCCCTTCTCCCACAACTCTCTCAGGATCGCGGCAGGACCCCAGGCTGCGCTGGCAGGGAAGCCCAGCCCTGGGCCGCTCCTTCGTGCATGGGCCAGAGCTGGACAACGGGCAGCTGCGTATCCAACGTGATGGCATTTATAGGCTGCACATCCAGGTGACCTTAGCCAACTGCTCTTCCTCTACGTGGACCGCCAAGCCCCTTAGCGCCACCCTGAGCGTGGCCATCTGCTTCCCCACAGCCCACAGCATTAGCCTGCTACGCCTCAACTTTCACCAAAGCTGCTCTGTCGCCTCCCAGCGCCTTACTTTCTTAGCCCACGGGGACATCCTCTGCACCAACCTTACTCCACCTCTGCTGCCCTCCAGAAACGCTGATGAGACTTTTTTTGGGATTCAGTGGGTGTGCCCTTGACCATTGCACTTCCTGGCCCAGATTTGTTGAGAAGGAGTTTTTTTCTTTGTTTTATCGTCAATTTATTCGTAAGTATTTTATTATTTTATTATTGTATTGTATCCAAAGGTTGTATTTCTCTTCCTGAGAATGCATTGGCTATTTTTTTAACTTTTTAATTATTTTTTCTTTTTTTGGTCGCACCATGTGGCATGTGGGATCTTAGTTCCCCAAGCAGGGAATGAACCCACACCCACCTGAAGGGCATCTGAAGGGCAGAATCCTAACCACTGGACCACAGTGAGATTGCATTGTTAATGCACAGAAACATAATTGATGTTTCTATATTGATTTGGGGTGTGTATGTGCTGTTTTTCTGTTTGTTTCTTTGTTTTACTTTACAGAATCTGTTTATTAGATCCAACAGTTTTTGGTTAAAGTATTTTTTAAAAACTCTTCTAAAAATAAAAACAATTTTATTTCTTCCTTTCCACGTCTGATACCTTTCTTTTTCTTCTACAATACCTAGGTCATTTTGCACCTATATCTGTAGGATAAATTCCTAGAAGTGGAATGGCTGGGTCCAAGAGGGTGTGTTTATAATTTTGATATTTATTAATAAATTGGCCTCTACAGGTGTGGAACCAATTTAGATTTTTAACCTGCACCATGTGACCATGGCTGCTCTGTGGGATGTGAAAAGAAGCTTTTCATTTGTCTTATTTCTAATAAAAGGGGAGCTTATTCCCCGCCCCCATACTTCAGTGTCATTTGAATCATTTGTATTTTCTTCTCTGTAAAATCATGTGTAGACACTCTTTTTTTTTAATTGAGGTGAAATTCACATAAAATAAAATTAACCCTGTTAAAGTGGCATTAATGCATTCACATAACTATATTCAGTATCTGGTAATAAACCATAATGGAAAAGAATATGAAATAATATGAAATATATATATATTTTTTGAGAAACCACCAAATAGTTTTGCAATGTGTCCACTCCTTGCCCAATTTTTCTTAACTGAGTCATCAACCTTTTGCTTTCTGTTTTGTACAAAGTTTTTATATGTTAAGGAATTTAGCCCTTTATCTGTAATATGAGTTGCAAATATCTTCTCAGTTTGTCTTTTAACTTTTGACATTGCCTATTTTTTTTTTTTTTTTTCTGTGCATTCTTTTTATTTTTACATCCTTGGATTTAAATATCTGTTTCTTCTTTAATGGCTTGTGGATTTCCTGAGCCAACACTCTCCAAAATTCCACACTGCTCAAAATTGTTCTCACTTTACCTGGCTTGAAGTGCACAGGCTGAGACCTCATCTCTATCCTGGCATTTTCACAGTGCCCCCTCCCCAACACCTCCCTGCAAAATAAGTTACTTAATTAATTTAATTTTTTTTTTTTTTGCGGTACATGGGCCTCTCACTATTGTGGCCTCTCCCGTTGCGGAGCACAGGCTCCGGACGCGCAGGCTCAGCGGCCATGGCTCACGGGCCCAGCCGCTCCGCGGTATGTGGGATCTTCCCGGACCGGGGTACGAACCCATGTCCTCGGCATCGGTAAGCGGACTCTCAACCACTGCGCCACCAGGGAAGCCCAATTAACTTAATTTTTAAAAAACCACCTGGGCTTACAGAGCTCTGGTTTCTCAGATATTGCCAAACTTCTCCCAACCTCTTCCTTCCCGCATTTATTTGTTTTCTTCCTTCTTCTCTCCTTCAAAACAATCACTCCTTTATTCCCTCTGCTATAGCCACCAGAAACCAACCTCACACCCACCCCTTTCCTGATCACAAAATCCTCGGAGATCTTAGAGTAACTTCTCTTCCCCAGTAGGAGGCAGAGACCTTGTAACTGGAAGTTCTTTGGAAATTGTCATCAGCTTATGCAACTTAATGGGATAAAAGGTATCAATCATTTCCCTACTCTCCTCCCATCACCATGGCAACTACCTAACCAATGAATGTCTGATCCTAGGACCTTATCCTGACTTTGATTATTCAAGATTTAATCATCTTGAATTATTAAAACTGCCATCTAGGTTTTCCTTTGGGTTAAGAAGGAACAAAATATTAGCAAACCAAATTCAACAATACATTTAAAGGATCATACACCATGATCAAGTGGGATTTATTCCAGGGATGCAAGAATGGTTCAACATATGCAAATAATCGGTGTACTACACCACATTAACAAAATGAAGGATAAAAACCATACGATCATCTCAATAGATGCAGGAAAATCGTTTCACAAAATTCAACATTCATTCATGATAAAAGTTTCAACAAACTGCCTATAGAGAGAAGGTACCTCAAGATTAAAAAGGCCATATATGACAAGACCACAGCTAACATCACATTCAATGGTGAAAAGCTGAAAGCTTTTCTTGTAAGATCAGGAACAAGACAAGGATGCCCACTCTCACCATTTTTATTCAACATAGTACTGGAGGTCCTAGCCAGAGCAATTAGGCAGAAAAAGAAATAAAGGCAGCCAAATCAGGAAGAGAGAAGAAAAACTGTCTCTATTTGTAGATGATGGGATTTTATATATAGAAAACCCAAAATATCCCACAAAAAAAACCTGTTAGAATTAATAAATTCAGTAAAGTTGCAAGATACACAATCGATATACAAAAATCAGTTCCATTTCTATGCATTAACAGTGAACTATCAGAAAGAGAAATTAAGGAAACAATCCCATTTATAATTCAAAAATTTAATCTAAGAGGTGAAAGATCAGTGCACTGAAAACTACAAGACATTGATGAAATTGAAGAGGACACAAACAGATGGAAATATATATCATGGTCATGGATTGGAAGAATTAATATTGTCAAAATGTCTGTATTACTCAAACCAATCTTTAGGTTCAATGCAATCCCTATCAAAATTTCAATGGCACTTTTCACAGAAGTAGAAAAATAATCCCAAAATTGTATGGAGCCACAAAAGACCCCAATTAGCCAAAGCAATCTTAGGAAAGAAAACAAAGCTGCAGGCACCATAGTTCCTGATTCCAAACTATATTACAAAGTTATAGTAGTCAAAACAGCATAGTGTTGGCATAAAAACAGACACATAGAGAGACCAGAAATAAATATATGCATATATGATCGATTAACTTATGAAAAAGTAGCTAAGAATATACAATGGGGAAAGGATAGCCTCTTCAATAATCAGTGCTGGGAAAGCTGGACAGCCACATGTGGAAGAATGAAACTGGACCCCTATCTTACACCATGCACAAAAATAAACTCAAAATGGATTAAAGACCTGAACATAATGGTAAATTCCTTAACATTGGTCTTGGCAATGATTTTTTGGATTTGACATCAAAAGCAAAGGCAACAAAAGCAAAAATAAACAAGTGGGACTATATCAAACTATAAAGCTTCTGCACAGCAAAAGAAACCATCAACAAAATGAAAAGGCATCCTAGGGAATGGGAGAACATATTTTCAAACCGTATATCTGACAATGGATTGATACAGAAAATGTATAAAGAACTCATACAACTCAACAGCAAAAAAAAAAAAAAAGAAAGAAAGAAAAAGAAAAAAAGAATCCAATTTTAAAAATGGGCAGAGACTGAAGAGACATTTTTCCAAAGAAGACATACAAATGGCCAACAGGTACATGAAAAGGTGCTCAACATCACTAGTCATCAGGAAAATATAAATCAAAACCACAATGATCACACCTGTCAGATGGCTATTATCAAAAAGACAACAAATAACAAGTGTCGGTGATGATGTGGAGAAATGAGACCCTAGTACACTGTTGGTGGGAAAGTAAATTGGTGAAGCTGCTATGGAAAACAGTATGGAGATTCCTCAAAAAATTAAAAATAGGACTACCATATGATCCAGCAATTCCTCTCCTGGGTATTTATCCAAAGATTTAAAAACACTAATAAGAAAAGATATATGCACCCATCTGTTCATTGCAGCATTATTTACAACAGCCAAGATATAGAAACAACCTAAGTGCCCAAAAATAGATAAATGGATAAAGAAGATGTGATAGATGATAGATAGATAGATAGACAGATAGATAGACAGAATATTACTCAGCCATAAAAAAAAGAATCAAACCTTGCCATTTGAGATAACATGGATAGACCTAGAGGGTATTATGCTAAGTGAAATAAGTCAGACAGAGAAAGGCAAATACTGTGTGATTTCACTTACATGTGGAACCTAAAAAACAAAACAAATAAACAAACAGAACAGAACATAAACAGAGTTATAGGTACAGAAAGCAAACAGGTGGTTGCCAGAGGGGAGTAAGGGGGTGGAAGGAAAGAAATTTGGTGAGGGAGATTAAGAGGTACAAAAATTTCCAGTTGCAAAATAAGTGAGTCATGGTTATGAAATACAGTGTGGAGAATATAGTCATAACTATGTAGTATTTTTGTAGTGCTGTATGTCAGTTATATCTCAAGAAAACTAGAAGAAGAAAAAAAAACCACAATGAGATATCCCCTCACACCTGTCAGAATGGCTATCATCAAAAAGACAAAAGATAACAAATATTGGCAAGGATGTGGTGCAAAGGGAATCATTGTGCACCGTTGGTGGAAATATAAATTGATACAGCCACTATGGAAAAAAGTAAGGAGACTCCTCAAAAAAATTAAGAGTAAGATACAGCTATCCCACTTCTGGGTATCGACCTGAACAAATTGGAAGCAGGAACTCAAAGAGATATTTCTACAACCATGTTCATAGCAGCACTATTTATTCACAATAGCCAAGAGGTGGAAGCAACCAGAGTGTCCATCAATCGGTGAATGGATAAACAAAATGTGATATATACATACAATAGAATATTATTCAAGTTGAAAAAGGAAAGAAATTTGACCCATGCTACATGGATGGACCTTGAGTACATTATGCTGAGTGAAATAAGCCAATCACAAAATACTGTGTCATTCCACTCATAAGAGGTCCCTAGAGGAGTCAAATCCATAGGGACAGAAAGTAGGATGGGGGGGGGGGGAGGGGGGGGGGGGGGGGGATGGGGAGTGAGTGTTTAATGGAGACAGAGTTTCTGTTCGGGAAGATGAGAAAGTTCTGGAGACAGATGGTGGGGATGGTTACACAACAATGTGAATGTACTTAGCACCTCTGAACTGTACACTTAAAATGGTCAAAATGGTAAAATTTGTATTGTGTGGGTTTCACTACAATTAAAAATAAAAACCCTCGGTGGAGCCATCTCCTAATAACTGAACGGATGGCTACTTTGTATAGAGAGCTTTCCATGTGCTGGTCTATGAGTTAGCTAGGGTGCTCATAACAAAGAACAACAAACTAGATGATTTAAAAAACAGAAATTTGGGCTTCCCTGGTGGCGCAGTGGTTGAGAGTCTGCCTGCCGATGCAGGGGACATGGGTTCGTGCTGCGGAGCGGCTGGGCCCGAGCCATGGCCGCTGAGCCTGCGCGTCCGGAGCCTGTGCTCCTCAACGGGAGAGGCCACAACAGTGAGAGGCCCGGGTACCGCAAAAAAAAAAAAAAAAAAAAAAAAAAAAGAGGTTATACAATTTCCCTAAGACCACGTAACTCTGGAGGAGCTGGGATTGAAACCCAGGTCTGACAGATATCAAAGGCATCCCCCACAAGACCATCCTACACATCTTGCATCTTCATAATGTTTCCTGAACACTCAGGCTGACTCTCTCTGCTTCCAGAATAAACCACTTACCACGTGATATTTCAATAGATTTTTTTCTTTAATTTTCATTGGAGTATAGCTGCTT